AGTATATTTATATATTAAATATATCTAAAATTTCTATATATGTAATGTTGGGTTGGGTTGGTTTCGGTTTGACTTGCTTTAGTCAAAACCAAACCAAGCCAAGTATGGTTGGATTTTTTTTTTCAACACCAAACCATAGTCGAATTTTTTTTCTCGGGTTGATTCGAATTATTGGGGTGGTACGGTTTATCAGTTTCCTTTGTACACCCTAGTGCTTTGTAATGTAGAAGTTTTGCTGAGGAAGTTCTGTAACGTACCACCGAAAAATATTTTATATTTGTGGCAGAGCACTATTATTATAGGTGGTGGATATTGGCTTTTAACTCCCTCTTTGTAACCTTCACTAATTTTCTAATAGACGAGGTTTTAATGGTGCTTACACGTATCTCAATTAATTCTATGAGGTACTTACTATTTGGATATACAATTATATGTATTGGGTAACTTTGTTCGGGACGAGTTCCAATTTTCACCCAACTTTGGAGATATTCAATCAAATAGAGGTTTTATCAGTGGACTTTGTAATCACCAAGAATTTTGTTTCATACAAAATTATGACCTTAAGTTATTGGAAGTTTGCAATAGGAAAATGATTCATTTAAGAGAGAGAAGTTATATACAAAATAGTTTATAATATCTACTAAAAGGCTGGCTTAACATGAAATCTTATTTGGTAACTAAATCTTTACTTCATTTCGTTAGTTCAATTCGATTTTTCAGCTTTCATATTTTAGTTCGTTTTTTTTTTTTTTGGATTAGTTTTTCTGTTGGGCATGTAAAAGAACTCCCTCAAAATTGTAGAAATAATTTGTCATGCTCTCTTCAATTCTTTTCTTTTTTTGTTATCATTAAAAGGGAGGCCAATACAAAGAAAATATGGAAGAGAGAGGTGAAGAGCAGGGACTGTGGGAAAATGCTTTTATTAACCTTATAAAAGATTCTATTCGATTAGCTCCTTTTCTTCATATTCTATTTTTTTTTTTATATTGTTTTGTAATATGAGCCAAAGTAGGTACCCAAAAGCATCAATATATCCTATTGCCTCTACTCGATTTCAATTTCAATAAACTCCTCCTCCTTAAACTATATTACCTCCCACCATAAGTAGCCATTCTCCATGTTACAGTTTCTCTAAATCTAAATGGAAACTCTTCTCAAACCTTTTCCATCTCCTTTACTTTTCACTCCTACACCTCACAGGTCTATTTTTCAACTGAATTCTACTTTTCTGAATCCAACCACCCAGAACTTTTCAAGAAAAGTTCATCGCAGAAACAAAAGTAGTAGTAACAAATTTTGTAGCTTTCTTGACTTAGCACCCACATCAAAACCAGAGTCTTTAGATGTTGACATCTCATGGGTTGATCCTAATTCGGGCCGGGCTCTATTCGACGTGATCATCATCGGAGCTGGTCCTGCGGGCCTCCGGCTAGCTGAGCAAGTATCAAGATATGGTATTAAGGTATGTTGTGTTGACCNATGTTGTGTTGACTCTTCACCACTTTCCATGTGGCCAAATAATTATGGTGTTTGGGTTGATGAGTTTGAGAAGTTAGGATTGGAAGATTGTTTAGATCATAAGTGGCCTATGACTTGTGTTCATATAAATGATAACAAGACTAAGTATTTGGGAAGACCATATGGTAGAGTCAGTAGAAAAAAGTTGAAGTTGAAATTGTTGAATAGTTGTGTTGATAATGGAGGGAAGTTTTATAAAGCCAAGGTTTGGAAAGTGGAGCATGAAGAATTTGAGTCTTCAGTTGTTTGTGATGATGGTAGGAAGATAAGGGGTAGTTTGATTGTAGATGCAAGTGGTTTTGCTAGTCCTTTTATAGAATATGACAAGCCAAGAAACCATGGTTATCAAATAGCTCATGGGATTTTAGCACAAGTGGATAATCATCCATTTGATTTGGATAAAATGGTGCTTATGGATTGGAGGGATTCTCATCTGGGAAATGAGCCATATTTGAGGGTGAACAATACTAAAGAACCAACATTCTTGTATGTGATGCCATTTGATAGGAATTTGGTATTCTTGGAAGAGACTTCTTTGGTGAGTCGGCCTGTGCTATCGTATAGGGAAGTGAAAAATAGGATGGTGGCAAGGTTAAGGCATTTGGGGATCAAAGTGACAAGTGTTATTGAGGATGAGAAATGTGTGATCCCCATGGGAGGACCACTTCCGCGGATCCCTCAAAATGTTATGGCAATTGGTGGAAATTCAGGGATAGTTCATCCATCGACAGGGTACATGGTGGCTCGGAGCATGGCATTGGCACCAGTTTTGGCTGAGGCCATTGCTGAGAGCCTCGGCACAACCAGAATGATAAGAGGATCTCCACTTTACCATAAAGTTTGGAATGGTTTGTGGCCTCTAGAGAGAAGAAGTGTGAGAGAATGTTACTCTTTTGGGATGGAGACTTTGTTGAAGCTTGATTTGAAAGGGACTAGGAGATTGTTTGATGCTTTCTTTGATCTTGATCCCAAATACTGGCAAGGGTTCCTTTCCTCAAGGTTGTCTGTCAAAGAACTTGCTATGCTTAGCTTGTACCTTTTTGGGCATGCCTCAAATTTGGCTAGGTTGGATATTGTTACAAAATGCCCGGTGCCCTTGGTTAAAATGATTGGAAATCTAGCAGTAGAGACCATTTGAATGTGAATGGTTGGATAATTTTAGTTTTTTTAGATTATTTTCATCTTTTCTAAATGAAAAAAATGAAAGAGGTCTCTGTAATGGTAGTTTACTTGGAACAGAAGTCTAGCGGAAAAGTAAAAGAAGAAATGGAAGCTACTATTCCCTACGTATCAAGGATTCAATATATGTGATCAAGATTGATTTTCGTGCTGATATGACTTTATACAAGATACCTGGCTAGGAAAATAGCATCGTAATCACTATCGGTCAAACTTGGACTAGTTCACAAATCCGATATCCTGTCAGAAAATATTTTGGTCTAAAATTAAAAATTGAAACTTCACTAAAGGCTGTAGAAAAGAAATTAGGATTGAACCACTGTTGAATAGAGGTAGTAAGTAGCTAACGAAATAGTCTGAGGTGTGTGCGGGCTCAAGAGATTGGTATTTATAGACGTAGAGAAGTCTGTGTCCTGCATAAGTTTTAGGATCCATGAAAATAGGATAACTCAGACAATCTGGTTGTATAGCTAAGTTATCGATCAATGCTGCATTTCAGATATGTAAGTATATAGGACAAAAGGTGAGAGGCAACATGTGATACCAAGTGTGCATTTGATTGACAGGACTAACTAATCGCTATAGTTTCCAAACACAATGAATTAACTGGATAATATCTTTTCTAAAACAATAAACAGGAAAAGCATCAGTCTCATTAATCATTGACAGACAACAAATGAACTACTATTAGTAAAGTTAAAATAAATGTTCTTTTAGTCTAATGGAGTGGGTTGTGCAAATCAAGTTCTCTAATCAAGGTTGGTTTATGAACTGCTCCACAATGACCCTCTAATATCCTCAACCTACGGCCAGGCACCAGAAAACGGAGCTGCTCCATCATATCTTTTGAGAACAATGTTTAGTATGTAATTCAAGGGAAGGAATGAGCATTTACCATCCTTGAATACTATTGCCTTAGTGCGAGAACCCCATCCATAGGTTTACGTATCTGTTGGTCAGCTGCAAATTATGAAAAAACCTTAAACAAATTTGATCTCATAAGTTTTCACACTAGTACTTTTCTCTGTCTAAAATTGAATTAGGTTTTGCTTTTCATATCCAATCAAGAAACGTACTTGAAAATTTCCAAAGATGAAGAGTTTGAGTTGTAACCACTCCTCCATACAAGCGCCAATGCCTTTTTTTTTAAGGAAAAGTATTCTCAACAATTTCATCCAAACTAATCCATGTCCCCCCCACCACCAAAACCCCAACCCCTCTACACNAAAAAAAACCTCTACACTGATATATGGAGTATATATTTCAGCCCTGTTCATTCATAACGCAAATAGCTGTAACTTCTATCAAAGAACCATTTCACATACATCCCCCTTCTATATAATTCCAACCCTTTGTCTTACTTCTTTTATAACGCAAAAAAGCGCTTATAACTTGTGTTAAAGGACCTCTCTCAAATACATCCCCTAGCTCTCCCCTGCATATATTAATTAGTATAATGGATTCAAAATCCCATAGCCATGAAACAGCCATTAACATATCTGAAACAGAGTCCAACAAAGGAAAATCTACTGCTGCCACCATTGTAGCTACCACAAAAGCTATTCCTCATAATCACAAGGGAGGATGGCTACGAGGGGTTGCCATATTCGACTTTATTCTGCGACTTTGTGGCCTTGTGGCTGCTCTGGCTGCTGCAACTACCATGGGAACTACTGATGAAACTCTTCCTCTTTTTACTCAGTTCTTTCAGTTCGAAGCTAGCTATGATGATCTCCCTGCTTTCTCGTACGTATTATTGAATTGTGACCACCTCACTAATTCAAATTTTTCAATTTTTTCCCCACTCACGAAACAACCAATATTTTTTTCAAGTGAAATGAATGTCCAAACATAATTTCAAATTACAAATATTATTTTTCAATTTAACTCCAAATACTATTTTTTTTTTCAAAAATTATAATTTTTATGTCTAAACGCCTACTAAATTGTTGGAAAAGCACACTTTTTATTTAATCTCTCTGTCTCAAAAAGATTGGCACTATTTCTTTATTAGTCTGTTCCAGAAAGAGTTTCACCTTTCAATATTTCCTCAATATGAAGCTTTTTTAGCCACACAAATATTATGACATGTTTCAGACCACAAGTTTCAAAAATTTTAGAGTCACACATATGTTATGGCTTATATAAGACTACATATTTTAAAAGTCTTTCCTTTTCAATTAAAGTTTGTGTCAAGTCAAACTAAAATAATCATTTTAAAACGGAGAGAGTCCTAATTTACCTGTCAGCACTACACTATTTACAGTATCTATTTTGCTTAAATTTGCCCAATAATTAGTTATAGTAAGTTTTTTTTCTCTTTTCTACTAATTCTGATTCTAAGTTGATGAAACTGTTATATATGATTGATTTTCAGGTATTTTGTGGTGGCAAATGCTATTGCAAGTGGATACCTTGTCCTCTCTCTACCTTTCTCCATTGTTTGCATTGTTCGACCACATCTTGTTGGAGCTAGACTTCTTCTGTTAATTCTTGACACAGTAAGCAGAATAAACAAACTTTTCTTTAATGTATTTTAGGCCTCATTTTTTTTAAAGATTAAGACGTCTAAATATGAATACACGTTTGAATATTAAGATGTGTATTAAGATTAAAATATTTGAATTTGAATACACATCTGAATATTAATATGTGTATTAAGATCTGAATACTAAATGATTAAGATTGTTTGATTTTTTACATCTGAATGTATAAAATTTACGTTTATTTGAAAATTAATAAACATAAAATTCAAATAAAAGACTAATTAACCTAATATTCCATCACTAAAATATATAGTTTTTTAAAATATGATAGTTGCTGGTGATGATTGGCTGACGGTATTGCTTGTGAATGCTGACTAAAAGCGGTGGTTAGTGGTAGATTTGGTTGATGGTGGCAGTTTAGGGTGGTAGCTAGTGGTGATTGGTAGTGATAGCTATTGTGATTGAGGATGGTGGTGGTGGATGGTGATAGTTAATAATGGCGGGTGGTAGTTATGATTGAGGAAAATGGTGGTGGGTGGTGGTAGTTTATAATGATGGCTAGTGTCAGCTATGATCGTTAATGGTGATGGGGTGGTTAGTTGTGGTAGTTGAGGGGATGAATGTTGGTTGTCGTTGAGAATGATGGTTGTAGGAGTGATGGGGATGGTGGGTGGTGTTAGTCGACAATGGTGGCGGCTATAATTGAGGATGATGGTGGTGATGGTTGAGTACGGTGGTAGTTGATAATGATAGGCGGTGGCGGCAGTTAATAATGAATATAGATGATAACATCTTAATGAAATTAAGTCTATGTTATAGATCTTACTGATATAGACCTATTAAGTGGTTGTGAAATAAAAAAATAAACACGCTTAACGATTAAGATCTAAATAATTAAGACTCAGACTTTAAAAACAAACGCACTTAATATCTGAGATCCGAATGATTAAGATTCAGACCTTTATTAAGTGCAAACAAACAAATGAGGCCTTAGATTGCTTTTGAATAATAAAGAGGTAACAAATAAATTCAGAGGCTTGTCCTCTTTAGATGCTCTTAACTATTGAGTCGTACTACAAGAAAAATAACATGCATTACAGTACAGAATAAGATTTGAGTTTTAATACTACTGTGTAAATCCTGCTAAGTGTTAATTATAACCACTACCGTCATTTGGAAAATATATAAGGGGGAAACAGGATGAATTAAGCTTATGATTAAGAAAAAATGGTGCAGGTAATGGTGGCATTTACCACGGCTGGAGCAGCTGCGGCGGCTGCCATAGTGTACTTAGCAGAAAACGGCAACTCCACCACACAATGGCTGGAGATATGCCAGCAGTTCGGCGATTTCTGCCAGCGAGCGAGCGGCGCCGTCGTGGCTTCTTTCATTGCGGCAGTCATCTTCATCTTCCTTGTCATTTTCTCTGCCCTGTCTCTCCGAAGACACTAAGACCAAATGGACATTTGGAGTCGCCACTGTTGTTTATGGAATGTACTAGTATCTTATCGTATGATGTGCTCACTTTCGCAAATATTTGGATTTGGTTTGTCTTTCATTTTGAGTTGTTGTAATGAAGTTGCACACATCTGCTTTTGACTTGTTGGACGTCAATTTGCTTATTCACTTCTCTAATACGGTTAATGAGGATTCCAAACAGAAAAATTCAAATCCAGATTGCAGTGTGTATCTCCAACTAATTATTTTAACCAAAAAAAGAAAGAAAAATGAAATGAAAAGTACTAGGAAGTTGGATTAAATTTTCTCCAAGTCTTCTTGTTTCCTCCCTACTTTTAGTTAGGGGTGGGCATTCGGTATTTCGGTTTGGTATTTAATAATTTTGGTTCGGTATTCGGTTTATTAATTGTGCATACTAAATACCGTATCAAAATATATCGGTACGGTTAGGTATTTCTTATTTTGGTTCGATACGGTTTCGATTTAAACCAAATCTTCACTATCTTCACACCCACTCCGTTAACTAATGTAATCCATGTTGATCATTGTGCTAACACATGACTATGTTCTTCTTAATGCAGGATTACTATGTTCAGTGGTAGCATAACACGGTTAAGCCTCTCACTTCATTATTGCAAGGATGGTAGTAAAATCGTCTAGGATTTTACAAAGCAAAATAAAATTGAATATTAGCAATATCATCTTGATTTCTTAGGAATGAGTATACTGTATAGTATGTACCTTTTGTTGAAGTTCAGTAAGTTAATCAAGCATGTGTTGTGTCTAAAAGCAAGTTAAAATGAGTCGATTTAATTCTTATTAGATAATTACACAAGTTTTCTTTAATTTCGAATAGAGCAATAATTAAGATGTTGCTTTTTTATCTTGAATTAGTATTTAGGAAGAAGTTATCTAAGTTAGAAAAAAATATTTTGCAGAATATGAGGACGGAATACATTAAATTTAATAATGTACTCCCTCCGGTCCAAAATAAGTGATTTTCTGGCCTTTTTCTTATGGTCCAAAATAAGTGATTTTTCCAGATTTCAAGAATGAATTAATTATTTTTTTCCTACATTGTCCTTGGAGTAACTAGTGTTGGAATATGTGTTAGGAGTGTTTATGTGAGATAGTAAAGGTTAATATGGTCAATTCCATTGCTAATTAATGTAAAAAGGTGAATTTCTTAATCTGTGTGAAAACATCCAAA